CTACTTTTATTTGTACTGGCAGTTAAAATTTAAGAGTTATGCATAAAAAACCAAAAAGTATCCGAGATAGACATAACATTCAACCCGAGAAAAAAATAGATTAGATCTAACTTAAATTTAACGAGATAAAAAAAAAATGGAAAAATAGATCTAATTAGATCCAAATTAAATCTAAATAGATATAAAGTAGATCTAAATAAATATAAGTAAACCTATGAAAATTTATACTTTTATTTATTATTAGATCTACTCTTGATCTACTCAGATCTATTATATTAGATCACCTCAGATCTGTTCAAATTTGCTCAAATCTAACTAAATCTGAGTAGTTTTAATTATAGTAAATCTGAATAGATCTAAAGTACATTTAATAATATATAAAAGTGTAAATTTACATAGATCTGCTTATATTTATTTAGATCTACTTTATATTTATTTAGATCTACTTTATATCTATTTAGATTTAATTTGGATCTAATTAGATCTATTTTTCCATTTTTTTTATCTCGTTAAATTTAAGTTAGATCTAATCCATTTTTATTCGGATAGTACGCAACGCTGTCGCCATAAACCACCACTGTCGACTCAACACATTCGCAAGTTTCTTTATCATTCTATTCGTCAACGGATCTATCAAAATTAACCCTCAGGACCAACACTTCGTTTTTCTCCCGTACAACCCACACTAGGTTAGTGTAACCCGGTAAGTTTCTCGGGTCCATATCTTTGGTTAGATTCAACCAATTTAAACGTTTTTTTTTTTAATTTCAAGGAATAAGACTCAAAATTATGATGGTATTAGCCACAAAGTTAAAACTGCCGATCAGGGGAGCAGCCTCTGATGACCTTGACCTTGACATATATTATCAAGGTCGTGACCCCGAGTAAGGGTCCGAAGGTTTTACCCAGCGGTCGTTGTTTGTTTACAAGTTATTAATAGAAAAAGTGTAACCAATACGACATTGTTTTTTGATTCCGTGTACATTGCAGAAGTAAAGTGAAATGTATTTATATAAAAATATATGTGTTAAACACAAACATTTACGTGTATGTGCGTAGAAACAGTATGTTTTGTCGAAACTCTGCGGGGGAGCTCCGCTATTAAAAAACTAGACACATATGTAGGTTTGGATTGAACCTTGTTTTGCGTGGAAAGTTGCACTGCGTCCACGCATGCATTTCTCACTTATTCTATATTACAGTAGAACTCCAGTAATTTCGAATACTAAAATTTCGACTTCTCCTTGATAAGCGGGCCATAGCTTCCCCCACTATTCATGATTCCCCGTTTCTTGAGTGACTGCGCAACTCGTAGAATGCGCAGATAACAAAGAGAGAAACACGATGACTGTATCTTTCTACCAGTTGGTCGCTGGAAGAGAAAAAAATGGAAGAGGTAGAAAATAATTTCGAATTCTAGGAAGAATCAGTCTCATGTGCTCGAACTTACTGGAGTTCTACTGTATGTAGTACAGACACCTGCCGCTAAGCGGCCATTGTTGATTCAACTCGCAATTTAATGACTTGGCTTGTGAAATGACATATCTTACGACGCAGTGTCTCGACAACGAAAAATGTAAGAATACACTGCGTTTTACTTAAATTTAATTTGAGAAAAAATACTTACTACGCATAGAGGAAGAAAAGTAGACAAAAATGGGCATAGCGTTGCATGCGAGATTGGCGGGCAGCGTTGCCATTTAAGATGCAGCGTAGTTGAAGAAGTAATTTACGAATGGTGGGGGAAATTCCTTAGATAAGTCCCTTAGAACCTTCGTACAAATTCTTTTCGTAACCATAAACTTAGATTCGTACGTAACTTTAAACTTTATTCAACGCACAAACGAACTTAACCTTTTCGCTACTACGGACCACTATAGTGGCCTTTCACAAGATGCCATTGAGGTACTACGTGCGGGCGTATTCCGTTTGACCACGGTACAATTGGACACAGTACGATTGCACACGTAATATTGGACACGTACGATTAGACACTGTACGATTGACCACAGTACGATTGGACACCGCAAGAATAGCACACTGTACGATTCGACACGGTACGATTGACCACCGTACGATTCGACACCAAATTATT